GAGTAATTCATAGATACTTGCCACTTAAAACCTATTTGACTGGCAATAATTGCTGTGCATAAAGGAGTTTAAATATATCTTAACATTAGTATAGCAGGAAGCATTATAATAAGACAAGCAGAAACTCATTCTCTAAGCCAAGCAAACAATGTGGGACTTCTCATTGCTACATGTGGAAATTTGCTCTAGTCTTGCTTGGAGAGTGTTAGGACTAGGAGTGAAAAGATGCTTTAGAATAAATTAGCACAATTATAAATCTGACAACAAGATTAATATTCTAACTATGTTCACAATAATTAACTCACCAAAACAGTTCCAGAGTCATTATCCAGCTAGGGTGGAATGGGAAAGTTTACAGCACCCCTGTAGATTTATAAGCCAATTAAGGGTGACCCTCCTCTAGATTTCATTAGAAAAGCCTCTGGTTCAGCAAAAGCTCACACGTGCAAGTAAGAAGTTTCCCAATGAAAGGGAATCTTTATCACCTCTATTAAACACTTTTCCTGCTCCCCTGGAAATTACATATTCCTAATGCATCCTCAGCCTCCTGCCAACTCTCCAGCCCTCACACAGCATGCTTGCACCTGTGAGAAGCACAGCACCACTGGGGCACTGCTCCAGGAGGGGAGTTCTGCTTTATTCCCCACATGACCAAGGTGTCATGGTCCAACACTAGAGAAGCCCCTCAGATCTTGTGATGCACCTCTGGGGTTAGGACTCACAGCCCCTCTCCCACCCAGAGCCATCTTCTGCCTTCCATGTGCAGTGGACAGCAGATTTATCAAAATGTTCACCAAGCAAGCCAGCTGATAACAGCTGGCCATTACTAACCAGCAAACTCCTGCTCAAGGTGCACTATAGGTGCATGGGACTGCACAGAGTGTGAACTATCTCCTTGCTATCTATGCCATTTTCCCTCTTCATTGCCTTTCTGCACAGATTCATTGTTCTAATATAAAAGCCTCCTCTGCCACTGTCAGAGCAGTCTCCCTTTATCTCCAATTCCACAACCTCCCCTTCTCCTTTTAAAACTTTGTATAAAGAACATCTCTTTTCTCCTTTTGTTGCATACATCTATGCCTGTTTCATCCCTTCCTGCATAATTGAGTTTTTCAGCTTTGTAAAGTATTTTTCAATATAGATAGCATAAAAATTGCTATCTAAAATTGAATAGCATTGTATCAGAACGCATACTTTTTTCCCAGTAAAATACACAATTTGGACTGACTCAAGCTGCAATGTGTATGCAGGTAAAGCAAATTCTGAATTATTCAACACTTAAAAACACTGAAAAATCATTTACTTGTTACAAGCAATGAGATTTATGTTTTATGTCTCCCAATCAATAGCTAGTGTGTCCACACATAGCTGATTTATCCATATTGAAAATATAATTATAAGTCTAGTTTGCTCTGAACCACAGAGTCCTTTTGTAACAAGATTATTTAAATACAAATGGGGTTGGAAAATTGGTTTTAAATGGCTAATCTGTCTTGTCTTCAACTCCAGCTGCAGAATTTACTAACATCATAAACACAGGCTGAGTGAAAACTTAAAAGGTTTTCTGATGCTCCCCGCGATCTGTCTATGCAGTCCTCATTAACAGGGAAGTTGATGGGAGCTGTATGCAGGCTGGGAGAGGAGGATAATAAGCCTTGTAATCTCTATAAAGAGAAAGGGATTTTTACTGGTGATATGTCATATATGCTGGTGTGCAAACGTCTGTCTTACTGGCAGCCCAATAAAGAATTTATGCACCCAGGTCTCTGATGCACTGTAGAACATCTCTGCCATATGGGTGTACCAACTTACACCCACAGGGCTGGAAACAACTCCTCAGAGCATCTTACAATAGGGACCATCAGATATTCATGGGATCATTAAGCCAAGTTTCATCTGGACAGATTTACTTGGGGATTACTGAAGGCCCTGCTGCCTTCCTGCTGCTCCCATGGGATGTGGTCAGAAGCCTGGTGACATGCAGTGGGGAAAGGCTGGGCCAGTGCATGCTCCTCCAAGGGAGCACTGCAGTATCACCAACTGGGAATGCACCATGAATTTCCCCCCGAGTCATGCACAAGGGCTGGGAGAAAAAGCAGCTCAAATCTGACTTGGGTTGAGTAGAAATTAAGGATTGGTAACTTGCCACCTCACCCTGACAGAAAACTACTGCCTTAAATCCTCCTGTGACAGATCATACCACCCAAAAAAAAGCTGGGTTTAACTGTTATTTTTCTTATTTTCTTCATACCAGTGTAATTGGTATGGGGGACTGTTTTGGGTTTGTGCTGGAAGTAGTCTCGATAATTGAGGGATATTTTCATTATTCCTGCGTGAAAAACATCACTGAACCAAAACCAGCACAGATACAGATTCCTAAGTCTGGAACTACCACACCTGTGGCAGATTGGTGCAGTGTAGACTGCCACAGATTGTGGCAGTGGAGGCTACCCTGGGGGGCTGCTTTCCCAGCCCTGTGAAATGGTCCACTACCTTAAGTCAAGGGCAAGGTTCTTTCCTAGGGGTGTGCAATGCAGAACTTCCCTTACAGCTACTCAAGGGCCAGATGTTTAGGACAAGCACCATGTTGTGCGTGTCCTCATTTCATCCAAGGGTCAGAAAAAGCCTTTCACATTCAGCTGGACAGCACACTTCTACGTTTCTTCTTAGTTAGAAAAAACCCTAAGGAAAGGATAACTGCCAATAAAAGAGGAACACTGCATAATTTGAAATTATAATTCTATACATGCTTCTGAAAGCCTCTTTGGCTTTCCTCTTTGTGCTCTGAATGGTTCTCTAGATCTAATTTAATTCGGTGAAGCAAATCCAAAAGTTCCAGGGGAAAAAAAAAAATCAACTTTTTCTTCAGTTAAAATAAAAATTGTTCAGAAAGAATTCTTGATCTTCATTAATTCCACAGGTAGACATACAAGCTCCTAAGTGTTAATGAGACTTGCCACTTAAGGTGGACTAATGTATCTAATGAAATGTCAAATGAGCCCACTTTGGATTTACATTATCAGATATTTCCACCAGGAAAGTTTGGCAAGAGATCCTAACAAACCCATCAAGCCCTCTGGAAACATGGAGTAAATGGTTCTTCTGGACTGGAATTACATTAGTGGCTCACTTGGTCAGTGTGACTCCTAGAAACTAAGGTGAGGGGAAAATAATCCCAATCCTTTATTTCCTTTTCCACAACCAAAGTCTATTTCATTTTTCCTCAGTTATGTAGAAAATTATCCTCTGTAGTCTATGGTGGTTTCCATTAGAAACATGTAGAAAAATTCTCTCCAGAAATCAAGCATCCAGGTCTGCTGAGGTTTTGGAACTTGTTTCAGAATCTGCCCTGAATCAACTGCATGCCTAATCACTCTAGTAAAACAAGATTCCAAGTTGCTCATAAATCCTAATTCACTGTTAAATGAATTGTTCTTATTCTCATGTGCAATATTATAGGTATCAAATAAGAAACTCAAAAATAGGATCCTTAGGGCATTAAGATTTGCTCTGGTAAATTCTATGTGTTGTCTTTTCAAGTTTCCCTTTAGGAGGCAAAATTGACAAAAGAAAAAAAAGTTCAAGTGTTTCCAGAAAGAACTGAAAAGTTTGACATGCAATGAAAAATTAATTTGTCCTAATATGTGGCTTGTTAAAATTTTATAATATTTTCAGGCAAACAAACACTTAACTGACACCAAATCTATAAAAAAATATCTTACTATGGATTTCAGATTCCCAGGGGTAGAAGTCAAGAGACAGATTAAATGATCAGTCCAAAATGAAATTCCACTGCTTTTAAATACATATATATATATATATATATGCATATATAAATATAGCTATCTGAGCAAAGACAGCCTTATATAACATTTTAAGTGACAGGTGAAGCACTTGACAACTTTATGACCATCTTAGGACCAAAGTTGCTTTCTTAAGGGAAGAAGGATTTCATTAGCTTTCCCTGAATCAAGCCATCATAAAGCAAAGTGATGATCCAGTGGATTTTAGATGCACAGAAGTTTACCCCTTTGTACATGGATCTCCACTGCCACCACACACTCGGGGGAAAATTGAGCAGCCTTTCTCCCCTCTTTCTGCTGTACCCCAGCTCCCATCACTCACAGTCATTATGGTCTGGAAGCAAAATCTGCTTTTGTGACACAGCACTTAAAGTATGAACCAAAGAAAAAATGTAATTCTGTTTGGTTACCCTTAACATGCTCCCCTTCTTTTCATTAAGAATCTGTTTCTTTTAACTCCACATATTTTCATGCTACCAGGGCTACTGATCCACAGAACTACACCACATAGCATAAGGAGAATCCCACCATTTTTTATCCATTCACTAACAACTGAATTTTCTGTACAAAAGGAAGGCTTGTAAACTTTTCCATCCACACCTGTGGTGCCACTGCTGCCCCATGCACTCCTACCAACAGCACCTGCCACAGCCACACACTGAACCTGTGACTCAGCGATGGCCAAGTCTGCATTAAAGTATTAGAAAAAACCTTGATCACTTTTAGTGTGTCTCCTAAATCATCCCACAACCCATGCTGCAGCTCCAGCCTTCTCCAGCTGAGGAGCAATTTACCACCCATCTTCCTCAGCATGATCTCTCTTGTTCTGACCAAACACGTCTAAGGCACAGAATTAATTTTCATCTTTCCTGGAGAAAGCACGGAGGTGATTAGCCCCATTTACCTTGGTGTGCCTGAATCAGAGCCAACCAGGCACAAAAGCACACAGGTCATTTTAAGTGACCTGATCATCCTCACAGTCTGGAAAACAACGTAGTCCTGAGGGCCTAAACTTGTATTACACGGACAGTCAGTGACATAACCCATTTAGATCAAAACACCCCGCGGAGTCACTCAGGTCTGCTCTCTCACCACCACAGCACTGCTCAGATATTAAACCAGAGCTGCTTCTCCACTCGCCCAAATGAGCTGAACCAGGCAGATCTGGGGCCAAAGGCAGAGCCAGTTCACACCTACCCAGACGGCGTCGTCCTGCCTGTACTGCTTCCAGTTGCGGCCGGTGTCGCTGGACATGAGCGCGTAGCTGGTCACCCAGTCCGAGCTGCCGTACCTGCCCTGCGTGGCCACGGCCACCACCTCCACTCTGTCCCCCAGATCAACCTGGAGCCACTGCTGCTCGTTGGACTCCCGTGGGGACCAGCCACCAGCTCCTGAAAGAGTGGATGAAGAGAATTTAGATGTCAATGACAGCACAAGAAAATTATGATCGATAAAGAACCGTTAAATTATTTCAGGTCATCACAGAGGACTTGAGCGTTCACCTGTTTTTACGTATTTTAGTATTAGGAAATAACCTGATGGAGGCCCACATCATGTAGTGTATCTCCATTAACCTAAAGCTCACTCATGAGGAATTTCGAATTTCTAAGACATTTTAGGGAAATTTATTCTTTTTCAGCTGTACAAACATCAATGAGGTTGGCACATGCTCAATCACAAAAAAAAAAAAGAAAAATCATATCTATTCCCTCCTTGCAGTTCTGGGAATGTGGAGTTGTAACTTGCAGTTTGCTTTGATATTTTCCTTTTTGCTATGTTCTGAAAGAATTGCAAAGTGTTAGTTATTTTTATTTAAGCCCTCTTAAATATTTGAAAGAATGGTTTAATTACAGCTTAGAAATACATTTCAGATAATTCGTTGTAAAACTAGAAACCATTTGATTGAACAACTAAAAGGACTGCCTTCACACTGGAAAGTAGGCTGTCTCTGACGTGAGCTTGCAATTCATGTTTGTGCTTTAAAAGTAAAGATTTGCACTATCCCTTGAATTCCTTTGTAGCTTAAACAGCCCTGTGGTAACACCAAGCCAATGAAACAGAACTGCCAACATTTGCTTGCATTTTACCACTTTGCTCACTACAATAAATGGGAGATTATGGTTAAGAAGCAAATCATTCCAGACTGGAATATATTATTTTATGGTCTCCTGCTTTCTTTTACACCCTAAAATACAGGCTACATTTATTTACCTTTAACTTGTTTCTCCTTGCACACATTTATTCTCTGCATACGCCTGGTGTTCAATTCAATAAGCAACCAATGCAGCTATGAAGAGCACAAGCCATCAGCCAAGAAGCCAAGACAGCAAATTTTGAGGCTGTCACTGCTTCTGCAACCCAACATCTTCTTGTTTTGTCATTATTAAAGAAGTTTGGAAAAGCACTCCAGTATGACTACAGTGAACACGATCACATTGGGAATAAAAGTAAACTGATCTGTCTCAAAGTTGCTCCATGAAAAGTTCATTGAAGTGAATAGAGTTGAAAGATTAATAAATGTGGTTGCTATCAATAAACTCAGTTTCAATAGCTCTGCACTTTTACAAACATCTTGTTTTTCCTGGATGGCATTGTACTTTCCCACTCACAACCGAAATCCCTTTGTCTACGAGTAGGCGTTAAAATCATCATTATTTACAATTTATTAATATAGGATTCATCTGAACTCCTGAAACAGAGCCATTCCAATACCTGGAATGGTGTATTGTTCCTGCTCCCCTGGATGACTCAGCCTTCATTTCTCTACAAGAGCTCTCTAGGGAAAAGTTTGCAACCAAACCAATGCATACTGCTTCTTAGTGCCATGATTTACCCTTTTCAATCACAGCAGAAGTCTTCATCATCACTGATTATTCTACCTGCCCTAAATAGAATACTCTCTCCTAAGAGCATGCCATGAAACACCTGATGAGAATACTAGGAATTTCATCTCTGATTTCTTCTTTGACTATTTCATAGCTCTTTTAACTCCAAACTTATATGTATAGCTTATGTAAGACTATAATACCTTCTGTTAAAAGTCCTAATAAGGTTACCTCTCAAGCCAACTTTTTTTTTATTTTGATATTTTAAGTGCTATATAGAAAGTATGTTTTCTGCCTTTAAGGTACAAACGACAGAGCTGCATTCAAAGACAACAAACTACAGATTTCTCCCACACACAATTGTGACTATTACACATGGGAACCAAGGGCAAACTTCCTTTGGATTGTAATATCCAGTATCTAAAATAGACTCTGAACACAATAGTTGCTGGTTTTTTGGTTTGTTTTTTTTTTTTTTTTTTCCAGTTTTATTCCAGGAACTGATATCATATAAAAATCTGCTTCAGAAGTTCTGACAAAGTTGTTCCATTCATGACTCAAAGAGCCTATTCTAGATGTTTTCAGAACATGTTAAAAGAAAGTTGGCATTTTCATTTTTCCTTCATTCAGCATAGAGAACAGCAACTAGATGAAAGAAAATAACTTATAACAAAAATATTTGGTGAGTTTTCCATTAAAAAAAAACACAAAAAACTTTGCTTTCTATGTTCTAGTTTATACATAAGCTCTTAAGCCAAGCCTGTTAGCATGGATGCTTCCCAGCAGTATGCCAAACATCATAAGTAAATATCTATTTTATGCTGTCTCCCTTCTGCTGCTAGAAGTGGCAGGAATGTGATACACTTTCCACAAAAGTGTTTGGCTTTATTGTGCACTGCTATTTTCCAGCTTGAGCACAACACCACAGGCTTATAATTTTAAAGTCAAACAAATGATACACACTGAACCGAATTTTGGGAGATCTGTGCTGAGCTTGAGCCCAAAAATCATAGATTACATGGTGTCTCTGAACTGCATCTCTCTTTACACGAGCACATTTGTCTGTTGGGAATGTCACTCCTTAGATTTAAGCACTGCAGACATGGCACTGACACCTGCTCGTAGCATCACCTCTCCAAAGCTGGTCTTGCAAGAAAGTCATCAGTTACGGGCCATGTCTTCACAGAACAGCAGCTGCTTCATGTATATTTTCCTGTGGAGAAGACAGCCTACTGTGTTTTCCTCTCCCAAACCTTCCTCCATTACCATTTCCACAGGTGGACAGTAACTACTGCTAGTAAGAAAGGCAAAATCCCTGCAACAGCAAAGCTGCATTGGCTGCATGACCGAGGGCAGAACTGAAGCTTTTCCCACTGGGCCTCTCTCACTTCTGCTAATAAAACAAACACATAGCTTCTGCTTGCTTCTCTGCTTATCCCAAATCCCCACCAAATACTGCTGTGAGTGCCAAAAATCAATAAATGTTCTTTTTCCTTCACATTTACTCTGTCATACAGAGCAGGTGGCACAAGGGATACTGGCATTTTTCCAGCACAGTCTGTGTCTGCACACTTCTCTTATGCACCTCATTCCTCACAGTGTGTCAACAGCCCATCCTGTACTTTTTTTTTAGTTAGTAGCAAAAAAACACAACCAAAGCAGAGCAACTATTTAGAACCCTTTGCTCCTCTACCCCCCTTGATGCTTGCCCTGCAGACTGTTTGCCAGCACAGGTCCAAGACAAAGGACAAGAAGGGTCTAATAGGCAACAACACGGGACACTGAAGACACAACTTACAGGATATCAACTCCTCTGAACAGATACAAGCATAACTCAATGTCTTTTTTCTGCAACTGGGCACAAAGATATTGAAGAGGGTCATATAAGTTTTAATAAGCGTGGCATAAACACAAACCAGACAAAAAGCTTGGCTTTCATTATGCCCATCAGATCTGCACACCTGTCTCAGGTGTGTTAGGACGTCACACTGTCTCACACAAAAATGAGAAAGTCAGGATGTTCAATATTCCCCCTTTCTGCCCACCAGGTTCCCACCGCCATCGACAAGATTCTGCACCTTGTGCTACACCATCATTCCTCACATCTCACACATTTCACAACTTCTGGGCATCATTTCAAAAGAAGCATTCAACACGGTATGGAGAAAGTACCCTAGTGGAGAACAATATCACAGGAATCTGATATATTGTTCATATTTTCCATGGCAACAAATCAAAATGTTAGAAATATGTGGAGAGCAAGGATCGGATGGTTTCTCAGTTGGAGACCCATATGAATCCAAGAAATATGATCAAATACTTTTGCTTCTTTTTCAGACTGTTTGTACATTTTGCCATAGTTGTTTCAAAAACTGCATTTAAGCCCAGTGTTACGCAGTCAATGCTTTTTGATGTTCCCCAGGGCTGCTCAGGATGCCAACATTTATTTGTAGTTGATTATTACAAAGCAAAGGGAATTATTATTTCCCCCCTACATGCCTTACAAACAGCTCAAATAGCTTTATACAGCACTAAAAAACTCCTGGACTTCCCACTGCAACTAAGTGCTTCCCTGCTGCAGAATTTTACTTTAATGCCCACATCAAGCACTTCCTGGCCATAAAACAAATTCTTTTTGACACTATATATGCTTTATATTCTCATACATAATTGCCTATACTAACAACTCAGGAGAGCTAATAAGAACTGAAAAATCTTAAGTGATGCAGTTATAGTGTAGCAATTTTCTTATTATTTTTCATTATTTATTTATTGTATACAAAAAAGCTGATAAATCTCTCTCATGGGCAAAAAATGTATTTCATACCTCAGAATCATATTTATCAGAATTATACTAGCTCTTTAGCATTACCAGTACAGATTTATCAGCATTTTAATTAAGCTCTTTCAGCTGTTCACACAAAGCTTTACTCATGGGTGCTTTGTGTGTTTGTTTTTTAAAATGGCACATTCCACTACTGCAGGCCCTTTTTTAAAAACGACAGCCTTTTACTTATTGCTATCTATTACTGAATAAACTTGATGAATTAGAACTTTCTGTCAATAAAGGACTGGGTTGTGCTTCATAAATTCATCTTCACTTGTTGCATTCATGTTTACATTAACAAATATATTCATCTGGCTTTCCACCCAGAGGCTCTGTTCCTTGCAGCACTGTCTTATCAATTACAAGCAAAGCTAAGCCTCCTCATAAAAACATTCAACATTATCAGAAAGCCACAGCCTAGTCCTTGTTAGGAAATATTATTTCCTGTAAAGATATCTACTATTTGCATTCAAGTGACAGAGAAAGTTTCTACAGCCATCATCCACCACTGCTTGCTGCTCCAACCCAAGCTCAGGCACTGCTCTGGCAAGAGCAGACTTAGTTCTCTTCACAGTAGCTGGTATAGGGCTAATTATGCTGGAAACAGTGTTGATAATATAGAGTTGTTTCTTCTATTCTTTCTGAGAATTGCTTACACACAGGCCGAGGCCTTTTCTGCTCCTCACACCACATCACTAGTGAGGAGCATAGAGGGAAGCCAAATTTGAGAGCGGACACAGCCAGGACAGTTGACCCCAACTGACCACAGGGATACCCCATCCCATCCCATCCCATCCCATCCCATCCCATCCAGCATCATGCTCAGCATTTAAAGCGGAGGGACAAAGGAGGAGGAAAAGGAGGACATTCAGAGTGATGGCTTCACTTTTACTCTTGTAATTCTCTCCCCCATCCCACTGGGGGAGTGAGTGGCTGTGTAGGGCTGAGTTGCTGGGGTTTGTCCATGACATGTGCCCAACCTGGGCCTCAAAGGGTTCAAGATAATTAGAGATTTGATTGGAATGTACCAGATTAAGTTTACAGCTGTTATTGCTGGTTAGCTATTAATCAGCAGCTTCTTTGCCATGGGGCTTGCTTCACTTACTGCTCATTAGAGTCTACTGCTCATTAGTAGCTACTTTTTGCTGTACTGTTTATCATCTGACTGCTGGGCTGGGTACATTTTGATAACAGCAGTGGCCACGCTCCTGGGCTGGCAAGTGGCCAGGGCATCTCTGCTGCTCCTGTGCACTGGGCAGGCTGGAGCTGCAGTGTGAACCCAAGCCAAAGGGGCAGCGACAGTGGACAAATCCCCGAGACAAAAGGACAGCCCGGGTGTCTGTGGCTGTGAAGAAGACCATGCCAGAGCCTGTACATCTCGAAGTGCCTGTGGCTATGGGCACATCTGTACCACAGCTGGTTCCTCTGAAGGGAATGTGGTCCCAGGTACTCCCTGAAGCACCGTGGCTGTCAAACTGTGTGGCTGTGGCCAAGCCCACCACAAAGTAGGGACTGCAGCCATGGGAAAGGCAGGAGCAGGTTTACTTCTGAAAGGACTGTGGCTGTGGAAATGCCATGCTGGAATGAGCAGCTGTGTGGGGCTTCACTGTTTTTGGGGGTTAAGCCATAGCAAGTCCCCGTATGAACTCTGCCAGCACTACATGTGCACGTTCCTACATAAGTCCATCAGCAAAATAATTAGACAAGGTAGAGTTTAGCTTCTAGATACCTCTGTTGCTTCAGCTCATCAGTTACCACATAAGCATTCAAAACACAAAACAAAAGTTGCTGAAACAACCCCCTTACTTAGAGCTTGGTTTCCATACTTTCTCCTATTCCTATGACTAGTGCTAAAAGACAGCATGGACCTTATCAATGTGATACTGCATTGCTGAAAAACTCTAATATCTTACTCCTCACAACATGACAAAACTACTGTGGGACAGTTAACTAAGACAGCTAACTATTTCAATTTCTGACCTTAAACTGAGACCACTGTCATAACTTCATACATTGCTAATATCTCTTTAATACAGAGTACAGCCAGAGCTTGACTTGCAATAGTGATTTTGAACCTCTTCCTCTTTTCTACAGATAAAATTAGCTATTAGAGCCCTCTGCACAATCAAATAAGCATATCTATTCACCGTCTCAGCCAGCAGTAGGAGACAAAGGCAGGGCAAACTCAAATATCATGCTCAAGGTTTACAACTTTCTTTTGTTAAGCAATTACCATATGACCTTTTACTTGCTGAGGAACTCTGGTTCAAGAGTTCAAATACGATATTTTAACTCCCATCTAACACTTCTTTAATGGCCAAGCAACTTCTTATCATTAGTGTTAAGCATATAAGAGAAAGCCCCTTACTGTCTCTCTATAGATTCATCAAATGGTGTTTGATTAAAATACACTTCAGGGATGTTTAAGAATGAAAATTGTGATTGATTTTCAATTAAAACTTTTTTTTTCTGATTGATTTTCAATTTAAAACCTAATAGTGATCTTGTTAGTGTTTCCCAAAATGAAATTCATACGTAATATGATAATGCAGGACTTTCCACTTTTAGAGGCTCTACCTTGGAAATAAGATGAGAGCAAACAACTCAAATTTGCAACAGGATGTTGAATGTTGCCCTAAATACTGCCAATTTCTCCTTTCTGGTACTAGGCTTCATATTCATAGTTCCACCTGGTGTTTGAACTCATTATCTGGACCTCAAACATTCTTGATGGCAAATGTCTGAAAAGTTGTTTTCCACATTCACTATTTCTGCAGAATTATCTAATCATTGAATTCCACTGGAATTCTATATCTAATTGCTATTGTTTTTAACAACTACATTTTAGAATAGGGTCTCAAACCTAATGACCTTTAAACCCTTAAAATATGGGAAGCCATCCAAAGCAAAAAGACTATCTGAACTTCCTTAATGATATCTCTACAAGAGAAGTGGAGATCTTCAAAATTAATAGAAGTTTTCTCTAATAAAGGAGGAAATTGCTCCTACATAGCACACTCTCAGGAGCATAAATTAAATGGCTCTATTCAGCCTTGCTCTGAATACACTGCATACAAACAGCATAGAAAGTTATTTTTGTAAAAGTGATTAAAATGAATAATTTAAGCATTTCATAGTGCAACCTTACCATCTCGCCTGTTGAGTTTTGCAAAGCTGGGACTGTAAGTACTGAAGAGCTCAGAGGAACTGGTAAGGGCAGCTGAAGGTAAGGGAGATACCAATGCATCATCACAATTATCTAAAAAGGAGAACAAAAAAAAAAAACATACAGAGGTCATCATATGAGCAACACATGCCAACTTGTGTTATCTCTAGGTAGTGCTTTTTCCACTTAGTAGTCAGAGAGTGGACACACAGCACACTTCTGCTTGAATTTACACGGAGAACAGAAATTAACCCTCCAGAATGTCCCAGTCTGGTGGGATAGCAACCACATGGGAGCTGCTGGTAAGACATTGAATGCTTGAAAAACTGGAAATAGTTGCCCCTTCAGGGAATGAGATTTGATTGTCTACCCTGCAGTTAAAGAGGGTATTGACTCTTCTTGCAAAAGCCACTGAAAGAGTGCAGTAATGCCCTGGCAGACCTTAGAGAACACTCCAGGTGTTCTGTGTCCAGTGCAGTTTTTCCACAGAACAGGTGTGCAATGTAGGAGTTACAACTTCATATTTCTGTGTGGAAATGACACACAAGAACATGCCATGGGGGCTTTTGCAACATGTAAAAGTGTGTCCTGTGCTTCACAGGCTGCACTAAAATTTCAAAATCTGAACATCTCCGTCATTTCTTCCCCAAGCTCACACAAACTGGTTTTGTTCACACACATGAGCAGCCTCTACGTTTCTCCCCTCTTTCTTTCATCTGCTTCTGAGGACAGATGGGCTATGCTAACACTCAAGTGGAATTTTTGAGCCCCTAATGTTTGAACAGGGATGGAATGAAATAACGTAAATTTTCTCATTACAATGCTGCCACATAAACACTCAAGAACATAATGCGGGATTTCAGTAGGGAATAATAATAATAATAATAAACCTCTCTCGTTTTTAATTGAATCTCCCATGGAGCAAACATGGACCTCATTACTGGAAAAGGCCTGCAGGTCACCAGGATCTCAGGCCACCACAGTGTTCTTACACTCAGAGAGTAAATAAGCAGTTTGCAAGGACTGGAGAGGAGGTGGGGGAAGGAAGGGCTACAAAAGACAAAGAATAAAAGCAAAACTTGCTTGATGGTTATGAAAATGAGTTTAGATTATTCCAAACCTGAGTGATACCTTTTCCATATTGAGACAGATTACATTAAAATATTTCTCATCTCTTTCTGCAATACCCTCTAAAACAACCCAGATACTTTCGCAATCAAAACCCAGCTCTATAGGAAAGAAAAGCAATGTAATCAATGTAATTTATATCAGTGCACTGAATGATGGATCTCAAAAACCAAACTTCTATACAAAATCCTTTCTAGCTCTTTGATTCCCAAGAGCAAAAAGGCCTAGCAAGATCAGCAAGATAGATAAATTAGGGACAAGTCTGCACTGATGTTGTAGCCACGAGGATAATTAGCCAACAAAACAAATATCATGAGCAGATTCCCTATGACTTACACTCTTTGAATCTCAGAGAACTTCTGAAGCGTTTGTGGAATGTCATTCTCCTGGTACACACGAGATCAGGCCATGACAGTTCTATTTGGACTTAAAAAAATCCAAAACAACTGTAAATTGAGGGTCTTAAATTCACCATCACTCGTGAACTGAACAGAGATTTAAACAAAGATTGAAAATGTTGAATTCATGAGGGCACTGAATTCACCCAAACTTCTGCATTCTATAAAACCAGCAGAGGGGTTGGAAACCTCTCAAAAAAAAGTCCAAAATCTTAGTGGACAGATCTACAGGACTATTCAGCAACACTTAATCCATGAGGCTGGAAATGACTGAACACAGAGATTTCATTTTAAACAGTGTCTAGACTGCTGGCTCTCTTCAGTTCCCTGTGGTTGCTCCTGGGCCACGAGAGAACTCAGCACATCAGCCTGTGATCCAGTTGTCCATCACTGTTCCCCAAAGGCAGGGCTGGATACCTACAGGACACCAAATATCTCAGCATCACAGAGGAAATCATTTCAGAGCAGCACATTAAGGTTTTCCCTGGGATTTCTAGAGGGTCCAGGCTGAGAAGTGACAATTAGCTCTTGTATCTGTGAGATACTTTGCCTAAATTTCCATATCCTTTGCTTCTGTCCCAATGCATGTTCATCTGCATCTCTGCTGCTACAGCACTGAAACATCATTTCCACATGGAATTCTTATTTTGCTTTGTTCTAAAAAACGAAGGAAGGGAGGAAAGGGAAATGGAAGCTGAATTACAGCTAGGAAACCTTCCCTGAATTAATATCTAACTATAAAAAAACATGTAAGTTTAAAGCTTCAGGATTTAGGACAGCATTAAAAAATTGATGATAGTTCTGAGAGCGCCAAGACTAATACAGCCCCACTTTGAACAGATAAGAGAGTAACGATTGATTGACTCGGAGTACATGCAGAAATTTCCTCCAAGTGAAGATTATTTTTGAATGGATACTCTGACAAGATGCAAGGTCACTCTTCTGCCCTTCACTCAATCAAAATTAACTTTGTACTGGAGGTTGAACCAAGAGCTCTACATGCACAGACCGACAATGCAGAATACAGCATAGTTTTTATACTCCAAATGAAATTCTAGAGTCCAGCAAATTGCTTGGGATGCATCAATCAACTTGTACACACACAAAAATCCAGAACATTAGCAGAACAGCTCTGATACATCCTTTGTCAGAGACCCATCATGTACATATTTGAGACTGATATCACCTTTGAAAACTTAGCTGAAATACAGTACAGAGTTCAAAAAGTGGGATGTGCATGTACAGTGAAGGTCATTCCATTGGCCCTGCTTCCATGAGAAGGAGTATTGAAAAGCAAAGGAACCAACAATCAAAGATACACCTCTCAAGATTAAAAAACTCCTGAAGAAAGGATGTTATTATCATGTTTCCTTTTGTGATGGATGCAGACAAGAAAGAGATGAAAAATTTTGTGTTTATGCAAGATCAAAGAAGATTCATGGTAAAACCAGAAGCAAAACCAGCATATCCTGATTCCCACCACATAATCCCAGCACACACATTTCAAGAGCCTTCATACCCCACACTTGATGTGACAGAAAAAAAACATTATTTCAGGTGCTCCCACATTTATAGCTCCTTACCTATAGTTCCTGACATGTTTCTCCATTTGCTTTGTCAGAACAAGAATTTTGCTTCTCGGAGTTAACTGTATTATACGCCTATTAAAAACATTGGTTTTAACAATGAATAATTCCACGCTACAGAACCATTTAAAACATCTGGACACTCACAAAAGCTCATTTACTAGCCAGTTGTTCAGTTGTTTTCTCCTATGTTTTCCTTGACAAGATAATTAGCAAAGAAATAATGAAAAAGAGGGTCTAATTGTACCTATAAACCAACTTTTTAATGCAAATCACGTAACAATACAGATGTTGATTTGCATTTGAGAAAAGGGTGCTGACCTTGAATATGCCAACTTCTGAAAAACAAGCAGTTACTGACAGCATTTACAGTGTCTTGAGTGTTACTAGAACTTTCATAAGCAATCTTGCTTCTGGAATTAAGAAAAATAGTTACATATATATCAACCTTGATTTTCTCGGTTTTATTCACTAATGGTTTTTTAAAAATAATGATAAAATTAACAAAAAAAACGCAGGAGAAGTTAATATTTTTATTTTCATACTATGAAGTTGTTTTATTGATTTGTTTTGATTCTTTTCTTGGAGCTTTAATTAACCTCCAATTAAAAACAAGGAAATGTCTTCTCCCTCTTTGCCCATGTATTTTTTTTTTTTTTTAATACAATGCTTTGGACAATCCCAAAAATATAAATGTTATCAGTTCAAAATCATTCAAGTGACATTTAGAAACTATTAGGCTTCTTTGAAACATGCCAAATAATACCAGCTTTTGCTAATACTATACAAAACAGAATTTCAGAGAAGGCCTTTTGCCCAAATACCTAATTAAGCTCTGTATGTTGTGAAGGCCTTCAACATCTATGACATGTATGAAAAAAATAACTGAATAATATGTATCAAAGTCCTGGAGAGACAGTATTTCAAATGCTCCTGAAACAGCAGGTTTCTCAAGTAGAGATAACATATTACCAAAACAGAGTTTGCACAGAAATCAGAGATTCAGACTAACTTTACCAGTTCTTTCAGTACCCATTTCACACTGCTGTTGGTAGGCTTGGCATGATCCAGTTTATAAACTTCTTCAAGGCTGAGACAGCCTTCAGCAGCCACAATTGGTACAAATTTAGAAAATTTCTGATTAGTGGGCACTGAAGATATTTAGAAAATCACAAACCCCAGAAACCCATCACAGTCACACTAAAGCTTCTTAGAGCAGGTCTTTTGAAGAGGATCAATCACTGGAATAGAGGCAGGGTCATTACAGGCCCAAATTGAGATGTGCTAACAAACCTGTCCTGCTCCTGTTTCCCTGCTTCACCTGAAAAGTCAGTGGGACAAAACACACTGATTTCCACTTGTGAAGGTCATCCAGAAATGTCACTAACATTTCCTGAAAAAAAAGCTTTGATAAAGAGGACACCATCATTAAAACATCTCCAGTCCCTGGCTCTACAGAATTTCTAAACATCAGCCTCTAGCTGCTTTTGGTACTGCTGTACCTTCACCAGGACAAACGTGCAGAAAAGATTTTACTGCATATCTCAGTTTTTTGGGTTTTTTTTAATGTGGTAGTACATTGTTTGTCAAGATCTCCTATCATTATAATAAGTAATTGCTTACACTGGTACTTACACCAACAATCTTAAATCACCATCAATGCAAAGTATTTGACAAGCCACAGTAAGACTCAGATCTGTGCTGCAGCTACTCCATTAGTTATTATAGGCATCACTAAATAATATCAATACCATGAAAGGAGCACTCAGAGTAGGAACACGGGACTGGTGGGAAGGGTGGGGGACAGGACATAGCATGCAAACTATCAACAGAGCCAAAACTGCCTCCTCTGTGCAAAATACAAAAACTGAAGATGAAAAAGGAGAGAATTATAACCAGTTAGGTCTCATAATAGAGTCAAAAAGACAAATTCAGAAGAGGGTAATTGTCATGCCTCCTGCTCTATCCTGTGGTAATAAAA